CATCAATGTGGCCCTGATGCCCCATCCGCCCTTCCCTGTCGTCACCCTGCGTCTTGTAGCCCTGCTCTAGACAGTCTGGAATGTCAGCATCTATTAACAACCGGCCAAGTGCTGTAAGAGTCAACAGCACCAGAGCTCTCAGGGACCGTCACTACAAAGGGACTGTAAGCCTTGTGAAGAAATTCCACTGTGATGCCTCTAACACAGGGCGGCCCAAGTTCTGCTCTCAGGTGAGCTTGAGCGAGAGGGGAGGTGACCTGCCAGGTGTTGCTGTCACCAGGTGCGATCGAATGTGTTCCGACTCTCATAGTGACCTTTCGTGTAAGAGAATAAAGCCCAGCTGGTCCTGGGCCACCCTCCCCCCAGCGCTGTTTGATCCGGTTACTGCAGAGACTGTCCACACAGCTTGTGAAGCCACTCCTCTTTTTCTCTGACCGTCTCCTCTTCCTAGCAGGCTGTCCTTCTCCAGTGACCAGTCCACCACGTGAGGTATGCTCCATGTACCTCGTAGGCCCCCTCATTCACGGCATTTGAAGTCAAAGCATAAACTGCATCATTCTCTTAAAAAGTGAAGCACTGGGTTCATCTTAAGAAACCCAAACACAAAGACAATTAAGTGGCATTTCTGTGGGTAATATCTTTTTTTTTTTCAAACCAGAATCTCATCTGGTGAAAAAGATTAAAATTATCCTTTAAGTACGAATGAATGTGAGTTGTTCTTATCTGAGAGTAATAATAAGGTGGGTTCATGAAAACCATTTATAAGGTAGTTTCACTTATCAGAGACTTCCAAAGCCACGATCAAACAAAGAGTGTTGCTGCAAAGAAGCCCACGCTCCCCTAATTCAGCTTCTGCTATCAGCACCTGACACACTGGCCTTCTCCACTGAGGGCCTAGTGCCCGCCCCACACTCACCACCCAAGCAAGGCGGGGTGACCGCACGGGCTGCAAAGAGACTTAATTACAGCTGTGAGATCACCTTCTTATATGAACTGACCAATGTTCCTATGCTGTTACTCCCCGGGATTTGACTGGAAGAATGTTACGCTTTTTAGGGAATGGAATGAGTGCTGAGCAAGGTGGATGGTCAGGAGAGAAGGCTGCTCCATGTCTATTCCCGCTTGGAATCCAGATGCAGCCATGACGAGAAGGGTGCTTGCTGGGGCTCACTCAGTGCAGTGTGTCTATGCCTGTGTGGCAGGCCTGACTTTCCGAGGCCACCCTTCCCATGCACCCCTGTCACAGCTGCGTCTCTAATATGCTCAGTACACAGGCAACCAACGTGCACAAATGAACTGCGAATGGAAGAGTGCTTGCTATGTTAGTGAAATGAGAATCCAGCAAGGGTTATAAAAATATTAAACTTAATATCATATTACAGGAAGCCTAAGTATTTCTGATGGGCCTGTAATTTTACCACTTCACCTGCTGTATCCGCTGGCAACTGTGGCTTAGAATATTAATGGAAAACTCCCTCATTATCAAGCTCCAGTATTAAAAATAAAAAAGGAAAGGGGGAGAAAAATCCACAACCACTAACAGCTTACTACAAAAATGTTTTTAGAAATGATCTGCCTTAGCAATATTTTACCACCGTACAGTTCAGAAAACAGATTTAATTTTGTCGAGTTAGAATAAATCGGGAAGCCCCCCACTGCTACAGACAATTCAGTAATTTGAAAAGTTCTATTTTCCTTGCATTTAAAATCTCAGGGGGGAAAAATTCAATCTCTTCTTCACCAATCTCCATTTAAGTGTTCCTATTTTGCTGAGGTCCAAATGTGAATAATTCAAAACCATCTCTGGTAGATGGTGTGTATCAAGGACTAAGAGGCCGAAACCATAGCATTCTCGCCCAGTTGGTGTAAACAGCACATGCCGTGTGCCCTTCACCCAACGACCACATAGAGAGAGTGAGTCAGGCTGGCACCCCGCAGAAGGCTAAAAGGAAGCCCTCAAATTGCCAACCCTAAAACCAATCCCCAAATACTCCTCCGGGGATATCACACATTTAAATCTGCTGACCAGAAAGTGTATGTGATCCTTGTGTCACACCCGGACTTCTCCCCCTAAATCTATGAAGGGAGTCTATTGGGGCTTTTTTCCCAGGACCTAGTGAGTAGTTTGGAGCCCTGGCAGGACAGTGGCTAAGCTCCTGACCACCAGTAACCGAAAGGCTGGCTCTCTGAAGAAGGGACATCAGTAAATATGGTGGCTGGGAAACCCTGCAGGCAGTTCTCCTGTCCAACAGGGACACCAGCAGCTGAGGTGGACGTGACAGCAGGGCACTTGGGCTTTTGGTGAGTAAGTGGTTTGGCACCTTCTACAGAAAACAGCAGGATCCGTGAAGACTTCTGAGGTGGTGGTGGAGCCCCTTGAACGTGACAATAAACTGAAAGCAGAGAAGAGCACTGCACTCTTCTCAAAGCCACTGGCACTCTGAAAGCCTGACTCCCAGTGTCACTACCTGGGTCTGGTGCCTTCAAAGTCTGGGTCCCTCTGGCCAGAGAGCACCGGCACCTTCCTGCCTGGCTGGAAGGGGGGCTGAGAACCTCCTGAACTGCAGGTATGTGCCCAGGGCTTCCTGAGGGCCAGTGGAGCAAGTAGCCACCACACCTCCTCGGGTGCACGGTCAGTCTGTGTGAGGACGATTTCTCTAAATTCACTAGAGGATTTTTATGAGAACACAAATGCTGGCACAGACCCAGGTAAAAAGTACATAAATTAATAAAAAGTATACAATTGTTTGATTTCTACAAAGGCAATTCAAATATCATACAATCTACCTTCAACAAAAGCAAGCTGGTTTCTGTTGAGTTTGGTGGAGAGAACAACGCAATGACAGCTGTATGTCGCGCTCCCCGTACTCCCTCCTGCCCGCACTGCTCCACGTGCACCTGGCCATGACCACACCCTGCACACGGGCACCCTGCACACGGGCACCCTGCACACAGGCACCCTGCACACGGGCACCCTGCACACGCACACCTGTGCCTTCTGCTCACAGGACCCCGGGGACCGCACTGGCAGGACACCATGAATGGTCCTCATAGAAGTACCAGCTGCAGACACTCTGGGAAGAGACGTTACCCTTCCTGCATTTCACAAGTGAGAAAAGCACAGCCAAGGAGGTGAGTGGATTTGTCAGAGATCAATCAACGGGTTCTACTGTTCAGGTCCCCTGGCCCCCGTCAGGCCCTCTGGGCTGCTCTGTGGTCAAGGGAAGGTCAGCCGCTGGTGCACCCGCACTGCCAGAGCTAGTGGCCTCCTTGTCCTCCAGCAATGGAGCTGGCCATTTCCACCCTCAGAGGAGGGCTGGCTCCCGCTTACCAGCCAGAGCACAGACCACAAACACCAGCACTGCCAGCCGCTACAGCCCACGTGACCTTGGGCAGAGATGGCCACTCCATGTGTGTTAGTCCTAGACAAAGGACAGCCACAACCACAGACTCTTGGGACTTTCTCTGCAGGTCCCCAAAAGCCTAGACTCCAAGAGTAGTGATCACTTCTGTGAAAAGCCTTCCATGGGAGAGGCACACCCATGCTGAGAGAGGGTACTACACAGCACACCCCCTTTCACACCTTCCATCGGACACAATGCTGCGTGCCCACGGCCACTGGGAAGTTGGCACAACTTCTCGACTGACAGGTTCACTCACATGTGATGTGGAAGGAAATCGAGAGGAATATAAAAGGATAAAAGAGAATAAAAAAATTGCTTCACCGCCCTCGTTTTAAACAGGAAACCTTAAACTATGTGCTTGCGCAAGAGAAACACCCCCCTCCTCCAGGGGTCATACACGGCCGTTCCAGGGGCTTCAGAGCCAGGCACATATGTCACTGGGCTGTCACCGCTGGTTTTGGGATCCTATGATGACCACATCTCCCCTGCACTAAGATGAGGGAGTAGAGCATCCCCACAGGGCAGAGAAGCTGCACGAGACGACACAGGCCCAGGGCAGGCGAGGACCCTGGGCTCCTCGCTCCTTGGGTTTAATGACTGCCTCGGAAAGTGCCTGGCTGGCGTGGCCCCACAGAGAGAGGCCAGCAGCCACAGGTGATGAGTTTGCAGAATGGGTTGGATAATGAAACACCTTCTATTTTTCCAAAGAGGTGAATCATTTTCTTTTAGGTGTCAAATGAATAGCCAAATGTATCACAGTCAAAACCCATCACGGAAAAAGCCAGACAGGCACTCATTTCAAACCAGGAGCAGCTTCTAATGATGCAGGAAGTCTCAGTGACACCAAGTGACCCGACGGAAAAGATCACACATGCTCTCCCACAGCATCCTGCTTCCCTAAGTTTCAACAGCTCCACGTTGAGTCCATTGCCAACACCCGTCTGTCTACACACCAGCTCACCAGGTCCTTCTCCTTAATTCTGAAAATCAATTCTCAACCAGGCACAAGACTGAACTTCAGAAAATAAACATCCTCTCAAAGAGAGGGGAGAGAAAAAAACCAACTGGCATTCTTGGGAGCTATTCCAGTTTCCTCAGCCCACCGCCCCTCAGCTTTTCAGATGCAGCAAAGCACCACGTAAAGTACAGTCACAAGCCATGGAAAGTGACATGAGCCTGATGTCAGAAATCATTTAGCTTAAGGAAGAAAATAACTCCATTTAGCTTTCTCCCACAGAGTAAAATTAAATTTGTTTAGTACTTTTTTATTTATTGCCAAAGGGCAGATTTCATCTGCAGAGAGTGAAAAAAAAAACAAAAACCCCAAAATCCCCTCCTTCTGAAGTCCAGTCTGAAGTTACCATTTTACTTCTGTTCTAACTGAAGAACAAAGGCTGTAAGCTTTAAACCAAAGAGGCATCAATCCTGCCCAAACAGAGGGCGGGGGAGACCCACTCACCTGTCCATCGAGGGCTAGAGGCCTGGGGGAGGGGGTCTATCGTCTTAATCAGCTGCAGGACCACAGCAAGCCTCACAAAGCCCACCGGTCCTGCAGGGCCCCTCAACCCACACTGCCGGGCTGCAGGCAGGACTTACCGGATACGTTAATGGACGTGCCGGCATCTATGATCCCACTGTTGGGCCTCACACAGTACCGACGCGGGGCCGTGGTCTTCACTTTAAAACACACATTGCGGTCTGTTGGGTTGCCCAGTTTTAAATTGGTGGTGACCACGTCGGTGAAGGGACCTGTGGAATGAGACAGAGACTGGTTGGGCATCGCCTACAGAAAGTTCAGAGGGCAGCTCATGGCGGTCAGGGGATGAGAGGGAGCTGGCATGTGGTTATGGGGAGAGTCAGGACTTGAGTTACCGGTGGTGTGTTGCCATGTGGCAGCAGGGAGCTGCGGCGGGCACGCCAACTCTAAGGACGGGCATCCGCCCTGCTCTCGTGCCACCACGGCACCAGTGAGGGCCCTGGCACACAGGGGCTCTACAGAAGAGGAACGAGGCTCAGGGAGGACCACGGACGTGTGCCAGCCCCCACTCCTCATCGGTGGGAGCTCCCGACTATGCTGTCACAGCTTCCCTGACAGCGACCTGGACACCTGCAGGGCAGGAAAGCTGAGACCTAGGCACGCAACGACCACAAGTACAGAGTGTGACGAGGGAAGCAGGCACACGAGCACGTTTCGGGGTTGCGAGGTCTCCTGGGACCCCAACCACATGGTGGAGCGATGAAGGAATGAGGACAGCTGCCACCGTGGCCGGAACGCTGCAGTGTCAGCAGCCGGCCACTCAGAAGGCCGAGACACAGAGCGGCACCAGGGGCGTTTTAGTAGTGATTTTAATCGCAACTTTAGTAGATTTAAGAATAAAACATGCTTAATCTGGAACAAGAGGTGTACTGCAAATGGAACTGGAAGAGGGAGGGAAGAAGATGCAACAATGAATGAATAAAAAATACTAAAAAGTGGCCTAGTGGCAAGAAATTACACTGCAATCTCAGAGGCAAACTGTTCAAATCCACCAGAGGATTTGCGGGAGAAGGAGGGACAATCTCCTCCTGTACCAGTCAGATCTGATTTGATGGTACACACAAAAACTAAAAATAAAAAAAAAAAATACTAAAAAAAGAGTATATGTGCTTCTCCAATAAAAAAAAAATGTATTAAGAAAAAGCTAACAAAAAAGACCAAACACCTTTCCTTTGTCTAATGAGGTAACTAATCTTAAAAACACAGGTAGTGTGATGGGTAAGGGTCTCCAGGCTGAGTCATGATTCCCAAGGGTTTGGCAGCCAGGTAAGACGCAATCATCCCCCACCATGTGACCCTAATGGGACTAGGCAACACTTTATCAGGGAGTTTCCTCAGAGGTGTAGCCGGGATCCAAGGGGGTACAGATGAACCTGGCTCCTGCTGGTGGAGACTTCCAGAGTGCATGCTGTGTGTATCTCCTAGTGTTTCTCCTAGAAGAAATTGTGCATAAGCAAATGCGAAGTGGCTGATTCCCAGACTGCCCCTCTGACGTGCACATCAATCACACGGGAACAAATATGTACAAGGACACCCTGGCAGAGTGCAAGTGGGTGTTGTGGCTTACACCTTTCACTGCTATTGCCATAAACAATGTACACATGCATGGAGGTGAGGCATCACACTGGCACCGTTCACATTATTTGGAAACCTGCTGTTTTGAATCTGATCTGATACCCCACCTTCTGGGTTATGAATGAGGCAGGTGAGAGGGAGGCGGAGAGGGACCCCTATGAGAATGCAGACCATCTGGCGTGTCCTCTGGACAAAGTCTTGGCCTCATTTTCTTCAAGGACAAGGAGTGAGGAGATGAGGGTTGAGTCGTGTGTGCATGAGAGTCCACGAGGCAGGGAACAGCCTGTGATTCGCTGTCCCCCACACTGAGAGACCCCAGCAAAGGCACAAAGCACAGGCCGCAAAGTGTTTGCCATGGGCTCCAGTTGAGGCCACGAGCTGTCCCACGTCCTCTCTACCCCCACACTGTGTGTGGATGGAGCAGGAGCCCCAGGAGGTGAAGTCACTAAGAAGGAAGCTCTCTGTGTACTGTCTTCTGTGCAAATTAAAGTCCCAAGCCAGTCTCTCTCGAGAAGCACGCAGAGTCTGAAAAATCAATCTGATATGGGCTTAACTTAAATATAAATTAAGAAATCAATGACAGTGGAAAGGAAGACAGGAAAATCAAATCAACTACAGGCAGCTCTGCTGTAAGACTTGCTCTGAAACTGCAAATTTGTTCCCATGTGATTGATGTGCACGTCAGAGGGGCAATCTGGGAATCAACCACTTCACATTTCCTTATGCACAATTTCTTCGAAGAGAAACACTAGGAGATACACACAGCATGCACTCTGGAAGTCTCCACCAGCTGCCTCAGGAGTCAGGTTCATCCACGCCCCCTTCCAGCTGACTGTCCAATTCCACCAACCGCCAAGTCCACGGCTTACAGGCGGCCTCCAAGCCACAAAGGCGCTCCACAGGTCTCCGAGGCTGTGAGTGCGTACAGACGGCTTCGGCTACCTCCTGCAGCGCAGCCAAGGGAGCAAACCACTGACCTTCAGTCAGCCCAACACCTCACACATTACACCACTAGGACTCCTTTACCACCCATAACTTCACAGGCTGTAAGCTCTCCAAGGCCCAACTCCACAGGCAAACGTCCAGTTTCCGGTGCATTCCTGATATTAGTTACTCTGTTACTATGGTTTTTTTTTTCATCTAACATGCAAAACTGAGCTGTTTTTTACCAGGCCCCATCTTCGGAGTCCCTGAATGGTTAAATGCACTTAGCTAACTAAAAAACTAGAGGTCTGAGTTCACAGAGAGCGCAGTTCTGACACCCACAGGGCCACGATGGGCGGGAACTGACAGGGGGGGGGGGTGCACACGCGCACGTGTCACTGGCAAGTCTTTAAGGGCTGTGCACCTAATCTCATTTCCTCTGCAAATCTCTTCACTGCACACTTCTTGGTGGAGTGGCGAGCGGCGACCATGAAGACACGTGTGCCTCTCTGTCCGCACTATCCGCCCGCGGAGGTTCTCACTCTGAGGCTGGTGACACTGTCCTCAGTGAAATACCTAAAGGAAGGTCTCTGGGAGCCCCGCCTGTGGCTCTCTGGGAGGGCATGTTCAAGGGTGGCTAGAATGAGGGCTCAGTGGAGTCTCAGGTATGGATCCCACTGGCCATCACCCATACTCCTCCCTTCACATTAACCCACCCCTCACTGAATAAGGACGTGCTGACGCAGAAGGCGGGTACTCACGCCCCAGGAGGATTTTCTGCAACAAGGGGGACAGCCAGATGCTGATGCTGCTGCACCTCGTATCGCGTTCTGGCTTCAGGGGCGAAACAGGACACTGGGTGCTGAGGCAGTGCCCTGGGGATTAGGGAGGCGGCACCTTGGCCTCTGCCCTGTTCCTTCTCCAGCCCACAAGGTCACGCAGTGAGGCCATAGAGAGGGTGATCTGAGGGGGTGGGGTTCCCTCAGCAGAGGTTAACTAGGAAGTGAGAGCTCCAACAGGCTGGGCTCAGAGGAATCCTCTGAGCACATACACGCACTGGCCTGCACAGAAACGCCAGCAGCACCACCACGCAGGGGGATGTCTACGCTAAGACCCCGGGAGAGGGAGCAGCATTCAAGTTACGTCTGCATGCGACCTAACCGCTCAGGCCTCAGGCTTTCCAACAGAAGCTTAAAGTCACTGGTTTCCACATAGCTCCACCTCAGAACAGGAGTGCCTTCAGTTCAGAATGGTCTGGAATTCATTATGCCCCCCAAATACCTCCCACACCAAAGGTGGTTCCTAGGACAGTGAGAGCAGAAAACAGAGAACTGGCAGACTGTGAGACGACCCAACTAACTCATCCCCAGCTCAGTTTCTAACATCTCTTCTTCCCATCCTGCCCTGCAGACGCTGAGGGGATGGATCCAAGAAGAATGTGTTTATGCCCATGGCAGCCTCCTCTTCTGGGTGCATCACAAAAATAAACCCCAGTCAGCTGTGAACACCAAGCTGACTATGGTCATTTCCCCCATGTCCATCCATCACAGAACCCAAATAAGTCACAGAAAATGCAGCCTAAATGATCAAAAGACTGGTGTTTTTAACAACAAAACTGGTGTGAAATGTCACAGGGTCCCCCGACCCCTGGACAGACAAGAGCACCAGGCACAGCCGTGACATGGCTTCACAGTGGCTGTTGGGTTGAGCCCGCTGCTGTGGCCCGTGCGTCAACTCAATGTCCAGAGGGCCGTCTCTTTACAAAGTACAACGTCCTTTTCCAAGGATGGGTCCTTCCCAATAACAGGAGACAAAGTCTCACCACATGTGCTTCTAAGAGGCACGCTAGTGCACTTCAAGCCAAATCAGTTCCCAGCCCACAATCTAGTCAACACTCTTCACCAACACCACAATCCAAAGGCATCACTGTTCAGTCGGGCTTATTCACAGCCCAGCTTTCACAGGCCTACAAAGTAACCGAAAACGTCACGGCTTCGGTCAGGCACATCTTAGACCTCAAGGTGACTGACATCTTTGCTTGGGAGTATTTTGAAGAGGTCTTTTGCCTGTTTGCCCAATACAGTGTTGCTTGATTTCCTGACCCCTGCTCTGTGGGCACTGATCGTGCGTCCAAGTAAAATGAACTACTTGACAACTTCAATCTTTTCTCCATTTATCAGGATAGTAACAGCTTGCAGATCCAGCTGTGAAAATTTCTGTTTTCTTTAAGTTGAGGTGTAATCCATATTGAAGACTGTATTCTTTGATCACCATCAATAAATTTGTAATAATAAGGATAATAAAATTTAAAAGGCCAGAAACTTACCACCACACACACACACACACACACTCACTCTCTCTCTCTCTCTCTCTACCCCCCAAGCCTCTTAAAGGTTTCCTAGATGAGCATAAATATGCTTTATTTATTAAAAAGAAAACATTAAAAAAAAA